CGAGAGAGAGGAGAGCGATCACGCCGCAGCCGATGAGGAACATGCACTTGCGTGACACCACCAGGAATGGACTGACATAATGGCGACGGACGTACTGTATCTGTTCCTCTTCTTCGTCCTGCACTAGATAACGATACTCCGCCCCCTCAGGGACCTCATATACATCCTCACTCATTTTCTAACTTCTGTGAGAGAGAGAGAGAGAGAAAACACAAGTGCAAGTCAATTCCCTGTTCATCCAGAAAGAACAAATTGCATTTCTGAGACTGCCGGGGGGGGGGGTCAACATTCTTTTTACCATATATAGAGAGGTCCAAATGTCTGAAACCACATTGAGATTTTTTTCATTCAACGGAAATCCGCATAAAGGATTTAGAAAAAATTATGTGAGAAAGATGTGAAAAATAAAACAGATTATGAACTATTTTTTTCAGATTATAAATTAATCAAGATCACTAATATAATCAGTAAATTTGTGACATTGATTATGTGAACTCCTTTGTACAGATGGTCCAATTTAATTTAAATTGTAATCCTGATCATATCATTTGTAATAAAAAATAAGATTAATTAGAAAAAAATGCTTTTTTTTTTTTTTAATCAAACAGCCCATAATGTTCAGGGTTATTATCGTTAAGCTAAACTTTAACTGAAATATAATATAATAATAAAATATGATATAAAACATGAACTTATTTTATTTCATCTAGTTGCTAGCTTTTCAGATTTTGAAAGAAGTCTTTTGCTCAAGGCTGAATTTACAATAATAAACAATAATAAGAAATATTTTGAAATATTACAATTTAAAATAACTTTTTTCTACTTTAATATTTTGGATTGATTTATAAAGAATTGTGTGACATTCAAGACTGGACTAATGGCTGCTGAAAATTCATCTTTTTCTATTCAAATATATACATCCTTGGTGTGTATAATAGATTTATTTCAAAAACATTAAAAAAATAATAGGCTAATTAATTATTATTATTGAAAAATCTTAACTTTTGACAGGTTAGGGTATATTTACTATATTAATAACAGTAAATTTCATAATTATAAAAAACCAACCCTAAACCCAAACCCTACAGTAAGTAGAAGTTGTTAATTAATAATGCTCAGAACTTATTTTTGTAATTACACTGTTACCAAGACACCTTAAAATAAAATGTAACTGCATTTTCTTCATGGCTAGACTGTGATCTTAAACTATCAGATGGGAGGAAAAACATGCAAACATTTTCTGTGAAGCGTGTATTTATAATGCTTTATAATACACATTGCGATTCATATACTGTGCACTACATATACAATGTAATACACATATTTTCATAAATAACTGTAACAGCCTTATAATGTACAAAAGTACATTCGTGTACAAAATACAGAAGTACATTATTGTGTATGATGACAGTAAACTTATTCATGATTGCACATGTAGAGAGTCCATAATGTAGGCTATCTTAACTCATGAAATGTAATGATGTGTTTTAATGCACTATACTCAATCAGTAGTTATTAGTGTGCATATAGTCTTACAGTATATGCATAACAACAGTAATGTGAATATATATATATATATATATATATATATATATATATACACAGTGTTGGGGGTAACGCATTACAAGTAACGCGAGTTACGTAATCAGATTACTTTTTTCAAGTAACTAGTAAAGTATGAAAAGGCTTTTATATTTGCCAAAAATATCACTTTTTTTATTTTAAAAACGAACAAGCAAGCCCTGTCCAGATGTAAAAAGTAACGTAACGCATTACTTTCCATAAAAAGTAACTAAGTACCGTAATTAGTTACTTTTTATGGAGTAACGCAATATTGTAATGCATTACTTTTAAAAGTAACTTTCCCCAACACTGTATATATATATAATGTATTATAATGTGTCGTGCATGCCTGTAGGTACCATAACTATAAAGCATTATAATGCCTTAGATACAGTCTTCACAGTGTGGTTTGTGTTGGTTTATGTGTAAATCTCAGCATGAAGTGTGTGTGCTGTCATGACAGACGCAGGATGAAGCGAATAATCAGCGGAAACCGCAACATGACCCACCGTGAAACCACACTTTCCCGGTTTCATTTCTCTATGAGGTGAAAGTTGAAATATTACCACACAAATAATCATATCCCACTAAAAGAGGCTACAGAAGAAACACAATATAAACGTGTTAAAACTTGTCTGAGGAGGAACCGATTTCAACAACTAAGAACTCGTTTTAGCACAGCAGATATAGCCTATATGTATACTAAACTGTAAAAATGATAACAAAAATAACTACACTAAAAAAGTTTTGCCCTGCTAACGTCGATAGAAAGTTAACAGTTAACGTTACTTGAGATAGCGCAACGACGACGCAAGCAGTCAAAGAGCCATTTCCATCTTTATTTACCAAACCATAATCGCTTGTTCTAGTTTCAAACCCTGAATATAATATGAAAAGTAAAAAGGAGACAAAATGACGCATATAATGTACTTACTGTGACATTAGAGCTCGCGCACTCACGTACTGCAACAGACTAAACAACCCAGCACGTTTAATGACTCTGGCTCCGCCCATAACTCGAGCTTTACATGGCTGTCTTCCTAGACATTTCAATGTCACAACCACCACCAATTATAAATAATAAAGCAAACCATTAATAAAGCATACATTACATTTAATTTTTTAATAATAATAATAATAATAATAATAATGTTAACTTTATAATACGTATGTTTATCATTTAAAGTGTAAGAAGCCAAATAGGCTAATTTTAAGAGATTTAAAAAACATTTCCATTGTATTTCTTGCATTAAAAAGAACAAGGGAAAGCATTTGTGAAATTGGAATTGTAAATTAAATTCAATGAAAAATTTTTTTAACCATTTTCTTATATTTCATTTTCTAGATAGAGATAGACAGTGTTGGGGAAAGTTACTATTAAAAGTAATGCATTACAATATTGCGTTAGATAGATAGATTGATATTCATTGTATATCTTTTTGCCTTCAATAACTTTAACATATATTTTAACTTTACCTTATTATATATAATGTTCAGCCCCAAAACATGTAACAGTAATGGTGCAAAAGCCTTATTTGAAAGTTTGAACTATGCAATCAATTACAGATTTCTGATATAAGATATTTTTGTTTTGGCCCATTCAGCAATGTATTTATAAGTATAATATATACCTGACAAAGCCTATGTGTTACTTTACATGTATTCATTTGTGAATTAAATAATTTAAAGAACACCACAAAGGCAAATGCATTTTATCAGGTAATCAATGCTAGGCGTGATTAACGAACTCTATAAAGGTTTAATTGTTTTTAAATTGATTTAGATATTGATCCCTTCCCAACACGGGAGGTAATTTGCTAGTGGTGAAAAGGCTTTTGAATTTATTAAACTAATTGCATTATATCGTGGTTAGACAGATTACATGACTATGTTAAGTGCAATAATCTTACAAAACCAACCCACAATATGTGAACTCAGCATGAAATGTAAAGAGCAAAAGTGATAGATGGATTGCAAAGTGGAGCTAGTGAATATCTAGGGGCACAATTCAAGAGAGATATATTTTAACCCCACAGGGATGTATAACGGATAGCTTGGCTGTTCCTAACTCTGAGGTCCACGAGGACATTTTTTTTCACCTTCCTTTAGGAAGCAGTTTATCATCTTCAGCATTGCTGATACGGTAGTTCAGGGCTTTTTTTCATGAGCATATACACTACAGCACAGCGAGGGGGTTGCTGGGACTCTGTGAATTTGGAGGACATACATCACATTTATATTTAATTCAAACATCGATTTGAAAAGCTGAACGAAAACAGAGATCAGACCTTGAGTTATGGGCCATATGTGTACGAGCAGCTCTTAGCAGCTTTATAAATTCCGCTCTCTGATGGAAAACACTTGAGGCATGAGGAATCTTATTATTTAAAGATTTATTAAATGCATAGAGGTATATACAAAACCAATTATCCAATTTCACACTTTCAGCATTTCAAAACGGTCATGCTTTTAATTTTTGCTTCGGGCCTTTCAATCAAAATAACGATGGGTTTTAAAACAAAGACTCGAATGAGTTTATTTCACAGTGAATAAACACGCTCATAATGCTGGTTTACACACAAAAAGTCTCATTGGAGTCCTGTGAAATGATGGGGGACCTTTATACATATTTGATGGATCATTCCATTGTAGCTACAATTAAAAGCATCACATTCAGCTTCATCTCATCTATGGCACAAATCAGAACGAACAAAAATCTGTCTAATTGACTTCATTTCAGCCACTCAATTGTTGCGTTCAATAAAACTATCCTCCTTGGAAATAAACATCTAAATTAAAAGGAAGGCATTCGTGTTGAGGGATAGATTATGGGATAGGAGAGCTTGAAGGTTGGCCAAAAGTCATTTGATAACAGATGTTTATAAGTGCAAAAAAATGTGGCTCAGATGCATAAAATTGCGAAAGCTAAAAGATCAACAAAAACAGCATTCGGAGAATCCTTATCCAGATATATATTCTCATACGCCAGCAGTGCACCTGTAACTCCCTGACTGCTAAACTAAATGTGGTAATGTTCTGGCACAGGTGTGATTTGAGTCCTCGAGTGTCGCTGTCGCATCCTCTAAATGGCTTCCTCTCATTCTGCTAACATTTTGGCAGCGCTGACCTGTGAAAGATTCACTTTGACGTCAGCCCCAGTTATAAAAGTAGATCTTCTGCCAAATGGGCAAGTACTCCATCAGTGGACCTGAGAGGACAGAAAAAGAAATCCAGTCAGCACATATCTCTGAGCTTTTTTAAAGCTTTTAGTGTGACAGCACTAAACATCCGTTGGGCGAGATGGATACGGCACTTACGTGCAACCAAACCGACTCCGGGAACATAATCTGCCAAGAAGCGAAGAAGGAAGAGGATCTTCGTCCTGTGAGTGTAAAACAGACATTAGATCTGGGAACAAAAAGCACCATTATGCAGTAAAGTTGTGCATTGTGAAATCTAAATAGATCATTCGTAAAACTCAATTTGTCTATTTTCTGGAGAAAATATAGCTGTGCGATTCCAGCTGTGATGCTGCCAAGTGGATAAGCAGTTGGTAGGGTGCTCTGATTGGTTGCTCAGCCTATATCTCATTTATATATTATTTTACTAATTTTATTGTCTGGCAGGTGCAGATTGTAACTTTGATGAGTTGAGATTATTTCTTTGTAGGAACAGATTTGGAGAACTTTAGCATTCCATCACTTGCTCACCAATGGATCCTCTGCAGTGAATGGGTGCCGTCAGAATGAGAGTCCAAACAGCTGATAAAAACATCACAATAATCCACAATTAATCCAGTCCATTAATTAACGTCTTGTAAAGTGAAAAGCCGTGTGTTTGTAATAAACAAATCCATCGAGGCGTTTTAACTTTAAATAGCCGCTTCTGGCCAAATTACCAGTCCATAATCCATAATAGTCCATTCCTCCAGTGAAAAAGTCCATCCACTGTTGCTTTCACATCAAAATCCATCGACAAATTTGTTTAGAACTGTTCTGGAGTGTTTTCTCTTGTAAATGCAGTTTGACCTGTGTGTATTTCTCTCCTGATTCAGACTAGATAACTTTTTTACTGGAGAAAGCAATATTATGGATTATAGAATGATTCTATAATCATTCTATAGAATTAGCATTTTGCCCAGAAACAATGGTTTAAAGTTCTTACTGATATGCAGCTTTTCAGTTCACAAGTCATTCATTTATAGACTCATGTGGAATATTGTGATGCTTTTATCAGCTGTTTGGGCACTCATTCTGACGGCACCCATTCACTGCAAAGGATCCAATGGTGTAATGCTTAATTTTTCCAAATCTCTTCTGATGAAGTAACAAACTCATCCTGAGGGTGAGTACATTTTTAGCAAATGTTCAGTTTTGGGTGAACTATTTTAATCTTAAGGATTTGAACAAAACACTACCAGAAGTGCATCACACGAGAAGACCACACTACTGCAACGGATACAGTAAAGGAGACACTGACTCAGAGTATCGGTCATAGAAGGGGGAGCGGAGCAGGTAGTAGAGGAGAAGGAAGGCCCGTCTCCTCATCTCAGCCCTCTCTCTGCGGTTCAGCGTCTTGATGTCGCTCAACAAACTGAAACTGGACAGAAAACAGCATCAGTCTGAACTTCTTTAAATCTTCAGAGACAGACTGAGGAAGACAGTGAAGAGAGAGAGAGAGAGAGAGAGGCAAAGCACTCAGTACCTGGTTATCTCTAAGAGACCAGAGATGATCCAAGGTTTCCAGGAACATTTTCCACAAATCCCAAGACTGGCCACTTACAAATGTTAAGGATGACAGATGTCAAAATGTTCAAATAATTTCATCACCACTGCTTAAAAAAAATAATAAAAATAAATAAATAATTTTCCAGGTTAATCTTTTTTACCAGTAAAAAAAAACCAAACAAAAAATATAATAATAATAATTATAAATATAAAAAAAAATTTTACTGGAAAAAAAGATTTTCCAGGTTAATCTTTTTTTTTTGTAGCAATAGCCAAAAATACATTGTATGGGTCAAAATTATCTTATTTATTAGGAAAAAATCGACCCTTATGACTGATTTTGTGGTCCAGGGTCAAATATATACATATATATATATTTTTTTTTTTTTTAGACAGACATATAGATAGATAGATAGATAGATAGATATAGATAGATAGATGTGTGATGAATTATATATTCTCCAAAATAAGCAGTTCTGCTTGTCAAGTAAATATATTTTGTTTGAATAATGTTCAGATAAAAAAAAATTGTGAAGTGATAAATGTATTACAGGTTTATTTTCATATATACTTCAGATCACAACATTCATGCTAGACTCTATTAAATGGGCACGGCATCATGCAAACTTCTGTGGAGGCCTTAACAGGACTTTATGATTAAAAATATAAAATAAGCATCAAAATAAGCTAAAACTAAAACTATTTCTTATATTAATTCACCCCCTCAACAACTCGGAAAACCTGGATATATGAGGAAACCCAATTTTTGTGATTTATAGACCTGGAAAGGTCATATAAATGAATGAAATCTTAAAACTTCAAGGGCATTTTATAATGAACATCCATTTTGGCATAATTACAAAACTTTAAATATTTTATTAGGTAGAAATTAAAAATCCTTATCCTTAATCCTTTTCCAGAAAATCACGATTGAAGAAGCCATGTAAATTCACTTGTTAAAAGACTGGGAGCCTTGAAAATCATTCAGCTCTTAAAACTTCTGGAATCCTGGAAACTAGAAGTGTCGACCTTCAAATATTGTTTCGGACAATAGAGGGCCTTGGAGACTAACTGAGAATCACTGCATTGGAGCATTTTTTTTTTTGTAAGAAATAATCATTGTACTTCATTTTATTTTAAGAGTTTGTTTGACCATGTTGTGAAGAAAAAAAATGTTTAGTCAGTCACATAAAATGACTCTTAAAAACAAGCATGAGCAGTGGACTGAACACGAAAGTAGTAACTTTTTTTAAGATCGTTCCTACACCCTTGGGAATAAATAAACAATTTTGGCTATCCTGGCATAATATTACACTGATATTACTTTGAAAATTGTCATAAAAAAAGAAAATGCGCAGAAAGGATACAATGCACAAGCGGTCTTGCGATGTACAGGGACTCTGCGATGGTTTCCTGCAGACCCAGAGGTGTGGGGCTTGAGTGGAGCTCCTCTTCTCGATCCCTACTTTTTTTGTTTTTCCGAGAGAGACCCCAAAGACGAGACTGCAATGACGGTGCTATGGGGAAAAAAAGGACATGATACAACTTTCCATTGACACAGAACTTTTTGATACACTGGATTGTATTGTCAGGTCTTACCGCTTCCCAGTGGTCTCACCACTCTTCCTGAACGCTGGCCCACGAAAGAAGTGTCCTCATCGTCTTCTTCTGCATTGTTCTCTGTGTAGAGAGATCACACAGTATGAGCGGTGCACAAGAAATCACGTTTCGACATAAAGAACCCACAGCACATTGACTGCAGGAACAGACAGTTCCTTTTGAGTTTCCCGGTGTTAAGCTCAAGGGCACTTCTCCGAAACGCCACGGGCTCTGGCTCAACGAACTACACAATCACAGCTTATCTGCACAGGCCATACACTGTACTTAATGTCTCACACACTGTTTATTTATTGTCATCAGCTGGAGTGTTTTTGTACTTATTGCTGTGCGTTAATTGTTTGTTGTGACTGTGCTAAATGTCGCTTCAGTTTGAGTCATTTCCTGTCATGGAGTGAAAAACGCAATAAATTAACTTCGGCTTCTAAGTTTGAAACCTCTGTTAGTATAATTACTAGGGCTGGGTTTTGACACAAATTTCACGATTCTATTCGATTCTCTTTCACAAGCTTGCGATTCGATTCGATTACCCATTCGATTCGATCCAATATCGATTATTTTGAATAGGCCATATATCAGGTACAGTACATGCCAAATTTTCTCAAGGAAAAAAAATCTCTCAACTAATGCTGTAAAATATACACGAGAGTCAGTTGGTTAAAATTCACTAATTTGTTAAAATTACACAATGAATTTTTTAAAATAATAAAGTTACAATTACATCATAATATTTCTACTTCAATTGGTTGTTTTAATATAAACATAATGGTGGCTGTCATAAAAACTTGATGGATTTATTCAAACATAAATTAAACATTGAAGCACAGTAAAATTTATAATATGTTATTTGGTGCATATATTTAGCAAAATGCCCCTCTCTACAGTTTATTTTTCTATCTGACTAACGAGTTTATGGTCACCGAATAACGTTGTTTTTTTCTGAGGTAAATGTGACGTTACACAAGCCGTTATATTGACGTCTTTGCGCGGCTGAAACACTGATTGAGCAATTACATGAGACAGGATACGGATTGTTAAATTTGACTCTTTCTTTTAACTAACCTTCGTATGTTTAGTCATGATTATTTTGTGCTGAAACTGGTATCAATGTGGAGGAGATCACGTGCGCTATGCGCTACCGCGTCTATTGAACTGAGGCGCTACAGCGATCTGTCACTCCACATTAAACAGCGCCAAAACGGCATTTATTGTTTGAATACAACAATACAATGGACAGAATTTGAAATCTGAGACTTTGTTTCATATTAAAAGTACCAAAGCACAATGCTTATTTTATATTAAAAGTACCAAAGCACAATGGTTATTGCGATATATTGGATGGGAAGTGCCCTTCAATGTTCCGTCCATTAACTGAAAACAGGCTAGAGCAGACGAATCGATTCTTGGGATTTAAGAATCGATATCGTTCCGTAAAAATGAGAATCGATTAATATCGAGATATCTATATTTTTACCCAGCCCTAATAATAACCTTTATGCATTTGGCAGACTACTCAAAGAGACTTACATTGCATTGAAGGTATACATTTCATCACTTCTTGCATTCTTTGGGAGACAAAGCCATGACCTTGGCGTTGATAGCATAGTGCTCTACTGTTTGAGCTACAGGAATACTTAGTAGCCAAGATCATTGATGTTTTCCACACAGTTTTTTACTAAACAAACACACATAGTTTGACTGATTTTACTTAACTTAATATGTATATGCACCATTTATATGTATATAAATGAATAAGCATCAAAATAACAACAGTTACTACATAGAGCATAGTGCTTTATTTCTGCAGGTCTCGTTAACTGGAAAATTCACAATGTGGTTTAATTTTATATTGCCAGCAATATCATGAATGAAAATGACTACAATTACCTAAAGCAGTGGTTCCCAGACATTTCCTCTGATATTTCTGCTGTAATTATGATAATTCTGCTTGTTTTCAACCTTTTTGTAACAGAAACCGGATGTTGATATATTAAAATAATTAACTGAGGTTCTGTATGTTAATAATAACAAGTTACAAAAGATGTGTTTTTAGCATTTTAATTTAAATAGATTTTTAAAATAATTTTATGTCATCCTGTGGCCCCCTAGGAAGTTTACTGAGGTCAAACTTAATATACATATATTTTATATCTGTTATTTATTTATTAAATTAATGTAAAATGTACTGTCTCTGTACATATATTTGCATTTGTTCTTGCAAATAAAAATAATTTTTCAAACAAGACTTTAAAGGGTTAGTTCACCCAAAAATGAAACTTCTGTCATTTATTACTCACCCTCGTGTTGTTCCAAACCCGTAAGACCTTCGTTCATCTTCGGAACAGAATTTAAGATATTTTTAATGAAATCTGAGGGCTCTCTGACCCTCCCATAGACAGCAAGGTAACTACCACATTCAAGGTCCAGGAAAGTACCAAGATGATTGACAAAGTAGTCCGTGTGACATCAGTGGTTCAACTGTAAAGTTACGAAGCTACGAGAATATTTTTTTGCGCAAAGAAAACAAAAATAACGACTTTATTCCACATTTTCGTCTCTACTGCATCACTTGTGGATGCGCGCTCACGACCGTATCATGACGCGAGCGTGTGGCAGCACTGACCCAGATATATTCTCGTAGCTTCGTAACTTTACAGTTGAACCACTGATGTCACACGGACTACTTTGTCGCTCATCTTGGTACTTTTCTGGACCTTGAACGTGGTAGTTACCTTGAACGGAGGTCTTACGGGTTTGGAACAACACGAGGGTGAGTAATAAATGACAGAATTTTTGGGTGAACTAACCCTTTAAATCAACATTCCATTGTTTGTTTTCAAGTTATTTTTGCAAACATCTTTTCAAATATTAATACACTTGTGGTTCTCTTCTACGACATCTCACCTTGACTACAGAGCTGAGAATCCCTGTCCAGAGGAATTATAGGTGGTGACGTCTGGATGCCTGATTTGTACCAGAGAAGCAGGAGACAACGCAGGATCGCTCTAAAAACACAGGAGAGAATGGAGAAATGGGAAGCCAGATACCAGAATGCAGCAATGATTATCAGATTAACTATTCAAGTCAAGTCAAGTCTGCTTTATTGTCAATTCTTCCACATGTACAGCACATACATACAGAGAATTGAAATTGCGTTACTCTCAGACCCTTGGTGCATACAGATAACACTAACAGTAGAACATAAATACAGATATACAGATTAAGTATAAAATACAACTATACAAATATACAAATAAGGTAAAATGTAAAAAAATATATAAAAAAATATATATAAAGCAGCACACGGCACATGGCAGATAGAGTGCAAACCAGTGAAGTAAACAACAGTGCAGATATAACTGGACCAGTTTGTGAATGAGCTGTTGAGGGATGATTGTGTTGAATGCTGAACTGAAGTCTATGAACAGCATTCTGACGTATGAACTATTAGCTCAACTGAACAATGACAATTGTGTAACAACCATTTTCAGAAAAAAAATTGTTTTTCACACAAAGCTGCCTATGGCTTCAAAAAACTGCATGAACCGAATGGACTATTTTTATGCGACTGTAATGGAGCTTTTTGTGTTCTTCTTTTAGAGTGCCTGCCCTCATTCACTTTCACTGTATAGAAAAGAGCACTCAAAACATTCTGTTAAACATCTCCTTTATGTCCTACACCAAAGACATATAGGTTTGAAACAACATGAGGGTATATAAATGATGATAATGTCCTCTTGATGAACTACCCTTTAAGTATACTGAAACAGGGTCCTTACTTGGCAACCTGAATAAGAACAATAACTAGCCAGCGTCCAGCTTCTCCCCACAGCTTAGCAGCCCCCATCTCTGTGAAAACCTCCACATATTCCAGTACAGACAACCAGGTTAACAGCCTCTGTTGAGAGAGAGACTACACAAACACACAGAAGTGTAAGATCAGGACAAAACACAGTGAAATGTTCAATATTTTTCTAAATGTTTCTTTCAAAAAGAAAGAGGTTAGCTGTACTGTAATCTCAGTCTCATAGTAAATTATACAGCGCTACATCTTGTTGATCTAAGATGTCGAGATGGATTGCGTCTTGCTTTGGACTTGACTGGCATACTGGCATTCTGACACTGCAAGCTTCATGCTTTCTTACCTTATCTCTACCTTTTTCCGCTTTATGTTGCAATTTTTCTGATTATTGTACATAAAATACAAGTTTATATCAGTAGTCCCATATTCATAATTGTGACCACACATTCTGCACTTAATGTGTGCAACAAGCACTAGGAAAATACAAGCATTGGATCGGGACTCGGTATGGGCAGATACTTAATATTCAATGACTCAGATTGGACCAGAGGCATAAAAACCTCATCAGCACAACCTGTGACTGGATGCTTTACATGTCAGTCAGATGGTCTATTTTGGTCTAAATGGCGGTTCTTAGCTAGAATAAGCTGCAATGAGGACTAGACTTTATGCTGTTGGCTGGAGGCTAGTTGAACTACCACAAACTCAATATAAAGTCAAACAGCCTATGAGAAGTCCATTAAGGTCATGGCTCAAATGCCCATAGCTGTAAATGCAAACTCATTCTTCCTGTCCCCATGGCTAAGCCGCTCTGAAAGCAGCGGTCTTTAAAAGCGTTTATTCCTGACAATGCAACCTGCAAAGATAAATATGTCTCTCAAGAACAAACATAAAGGGAAAAAACAATGAAGGAGCTTTGTAAACTGTGCTTGCTCCCAAAAATGAATGTGTTTGTCTGAAGGGGTCAGACGTATTTTTTCACACACTGCCCATTTCAAAGTCGTTTTGAGCAAAACCAGGCTCTCATCAGCAGGGCAAAAAGGTGGATATCAACAAGTCTATTGCAGAACAGTGACAGAGTTGGGGCAAAATGCATTTTTTTTGACAATGTGCAGTCAAAGAAAGCAGCAGGCTGTGCCTTTGAACACACAACTTTGAATCTTCTCTCTTGAAGCAGAAACAGTCTGTGCTGTCTCTACATTTTCACAATAGAAAACTCTCATTCGTAGATAATTTTATAGTGGTTACCATGCCAACTGCACATGCACATATCAGTCCTTATGCAAGTTTGATGATAAAGTAGGGAATAAAAAGAAAAAGAATGGGTCATTTTGTGGAAAATCAAAGTTTCCTGGATCTTTTAATAGATAGATAGATACTCGATGTACCATGAAAACATAATTTAACTGTCAGAACTCAAAATATGGTAGAACTGTCAGAACTCTCTAGTTTAAAAAGAGCATTTAAAACTACACCAAAAGAACGTTTTCTGGCGTCAAAGAGTGGTTGAGTAGTAGTAGTAGTAGTATATATTTATTTAATGCCATGTCAGTATCAACAATTAAAAAATACAAGTATCAAAGTCCCTGATCATTTCAGTCTAATTGTTTGCATGCTGCAATACAAGGTGGATTGTTTTATTTTTTGTGTGAGTGGATCATTTCATGTGCAAAGATAAAAATGCTAGTGAGGAGGTAGAAAATGAAACAAAAAACATTTGCTAACATTATAAGATGAAAAAACGTAATAGTTTATAACCCCTTTAAGGGAAATGCATTACCATAGGCAATGTCCGAGAGAGATTTTTCCTCAAGATACCATCGTTCAGCAGCACTAGAAGGTTAGATGCTGAGTAGACTGCAAATCAAGAGAAACACAATTCACAGGAGAATTCATCTAGAGACATGCTCTTAGATCAACATTAATACAAAAGAAGATGATGCAAAGCAATGAACCCTACCCAACTCTGAGATTTCATGAGAGTCTGAGAAGCGACCTGTAATGAGATAAGTCATAACTTTATATAATCAAAATGATGAAAGCTTCTTCAAGTTCCTGCTAGTGCAAGAGAGTAAAATTAAACCCCAAAATTAGAGCTATAATCTAAAGGGTGGTTACTTTGAAGAGCTTAAATATAAAAGATTGGTAACACTTTACTTGAAGGGGTGTGCGTAAGACTGACATGGCACCTTCATAATCATGACATGACACATGTCATGAATATGAAGGAGGTTTTATGCATGTTTATGACAACTGTCATTAAGTGTCATTTGCTCAGTTATGTCATTTTTTAATGCAAATATGACATTATTTGACCTAACCCTACCCCTACCCTTACCCCTAACCATAGCCCATAACAAAGACATCTCAAACAATGTCATCTTTGCATTAAAAATGACATAACTGAGCGAATGACACTTAATGACAGTTGTCATAAACATGCATAAAAAAACCTTCATATTCATGACATGTGTCATGTCATGATTATGTAGGTGTCATGTCAGTCTTATGCACACCCCTTCAAGTAAAGTGTAACCAAAAGATTAGATATAAAATATACATTTGACACATTTTAATGTTGTTGGAAGAAAACAAGTAACCAGATACAGAAGACAACAACATAATACAGAAGTTTGCATACTGATCTGCTGCTACATTTGATACATCTAACTTTGGACCTGCACGACATTGTTGTATAAGACGTGAGCGGTTATGTTTGCTTTCACTTTGACACGCAGACTCTCTCTCACCTGCGATCAGGTAACTCAGCGCGCGAACAGTGCTCTCCAGATGAGACGCGGCTGCAGGGTTCGACCTCACATACTCCTGATAACGCTCATAAATACGACTTAATGTATCCATGTAGAGCACCGACATCACAAACAAATGAATAAATTCCCAATCACACACAACACATCGCAGAAAACACACGGAGAGTGACACTTCCGCATATGCAGATGTTTTCCTCTGACGCCACTTCCTGTACGGCGAGCGCGTGCGCCGTTTAAAGTCGCAGTAACCTGTTTAAATTCTATTTTCGTTTGCGTCTGTAATGCATCTATACAAAGCGGTTTATTGGAGATGAACAGACGTTAGTGTGCCTAAGTGTGTCTATATACCCGGAGAAAGGTGTCTGCTAACATTTTCAATAGCAGATACTAAGATGGCAGGAACACACTCCACAATGTGTGGTTTTAAAGGGGTCATATGACGTTGCTAAATAGAACATTATTTTGTGTATTTGGTGTAATGCAATGTGTTTATGCGGTTTAAGGTTCAAAAACACATTATTTTCCACATACTGTACATTATTGTTTCTCCTCTATGGCCCGCCTTTCTGAAACGCGTCGATTTTTACAAAGCTCATCGGTCTGAAAAAGCGAGGTGTGCTCTGATTGGCCAGCTAGCCAGTGCGTTGGGATTGGCCGAATGCCGTCTCCCAGCAGGACAGAGAAAACCAATAAAACCCATTACAAATGAGGCATTTGTTGCATCCAGTGGGGACATAATTACTGATTATAATGATTTATACTGTCTTTTTACGCGTTGCGTTGCGTGTCGCGCTGCGTAAACATAAAACCATGTCTTCATTTGTGATCAGAGAAACAACAAACGACAAGCCTACTCTACACTGCTCAAAACTCACGTTTGAATCATCAGTGGCACATTATTTAAATATAAAAAACGTACTTACAGTCTGTGAGTCAGAAGCACCAGACTGTCCTTGCAAAGTTGGAACTGCCCAACTTTATATAAACAGCTTTTGTGCCACAGAAGCATTATAGGCTACTGGTTCAGGAAACAGTCCTCATCCTACATTAAATGCGCGGCACACATCTGAATATTTCTAGTTGTGTCCTCTTTTTTCTAGTTGTGTCCTCTTTTGGAAGGCCAAACAAAGTAGTTTCGCTTTCACAATGA